GAGATCTCCGAAGGGTGCTTCTGCCCACAGCTGCTTTCAGAAGGTGACCAGAGACAGCCCTGGACCAAGACTGTGATGGGACTGTGACCCCTTCATGCCCACCCCCTGGCTGCAGTGCTGACCTGGCCTGCCAGGGTATGTTGGCAAAATATCCTAGGACCTTGACTCTTCCGTTAGGCCTTGGGGGCAGGGAGTGTGAGCCTTCTCTAGGACAGGAGGCAGCTACAGCTCTCAAGGTTCTGGTCTGGCCACAGGGTTCAGCAGGTACAGTGATACTGACACATGGGATCATTCTGCTTGAAGCATGCTTTTAGAGAATGCATGGAGTGGGTTTTACAAGGGTTAGGCTGTGCTCAGGTTCCATCCAGCTGAGACTAAACCAAGAATCCTTTACAGTGGAGGGTCAGGGAAAGGGAACCAGAGCCCAGGGTGCCACATTCTGAATCTCTTGCTGTGGCCCTTGCACTAGTTCTGCTTCCTTAGATCCCACTCTGGACCTTCCTACTTCCCTTTTACCCGATTAAGTCCTCTGGACTCTCCTCTAGGGCTTAGGTATGTTCCCTCTTATAGCACTGATCACACTGGTGGCCTTGATTGCAGGGACTTTTAGGGCAACCCTAGTAAATAAATTCCTGACATCTACCCAAAGCTGAGCATGGAGACTTGTGCCTGGAGCTCAAGGTAGCAGAGTAACTTAGAGATTCCCTAATGAAGCAGGACCACCAAGGTGTAACACCTCCCAATTCTATCCTGGACAGTATGATGAGGCCCAGTTCTTTTGGCAAAGCCACCCAAAGGAGAACTTTCCCAATGGAGCTTGGTATGCCAAGATTGCAGCCTTGGTCATGCGGGAAGACACTGAATGTAAGATGGGGCAACAGGAGCTAGATGAACAGTGGCTACCTGATGACTTGCAGTGTTCTGCTGTTTTGTAGAACTGTGTGCCAGATGGAAAAAGAAAGAGGGTGTGGATGGGCTTTCCCCAAAGCTGTGGTGTTAGATTCATTCCAGGCTGTAGGCTCTAGAGCATTACGACCAGGGATGCTCAGAGCACTGGGGTGGCCCCTGGTCCCTGCTAACCCTCTTTAACTTGCTTAGATCCACAGATGGCCTGTTCACTTACAGCTGGCATGGGAGCCCCTCCCTCCAGGCTCCTCCATTTAGACCAAGCCAGGCCAGAACAGTAGCCTCTCTGGCCCATTGTCACTTTAACACAAGCTCTAGCTGTGTGACCTTGAGTATGCCTCAGAGCTGCAGCTTTAGAAGGCCTGGGAGCACTGATCTCCTTCTGTAGACTTGCCACAGAGATCAAGAAGATTGCAGTTACAGAGCAGGTGCTCAGCTAGTGGCAGTGTGGCTATTAAAGGTGCCAGAAACTTGGGGGCAAGGTAAAAAGCAAAAACAAAACAAAACAAAAAAATAAAACACAAACCAAATGGACAAAGCCTCCCTTTGTACCTTGTTAGTCTCAACAGGACAATCAAGAGAGGCTTCACAGGGAAGGTAGCTTCTTAAGATTTTGAAGGGTGAGTAGGAGTCTGCCAGGCTAAGGCAGAAAGAGAGTACCTAGTGAAGGGAAGGAAGGAGCAGAACTTCCATAGGCACGTGGTTCTTCCAAAGTGGGAGCAGGTTCTAGAGGCAGGGCAAGCTGGACCTGTTGGCAGACTTGAGCAGGATATCCATAATTATATCATTGAAACTCATCCTCAGATGTTTGTCTTAGACCACTCTCCAGAACCTTGCCAGTTTCTGCCAGGTCAGGCCTGTCAGGCTGCCTTGGGGTGTGGGTTCCACACTTGAATTTAAAGACTGGTGTGCATTTTCTTTCTTTCTTTTTTAATATTTATTTATTATGTATAGTTTTCTGTCTGCACGTATGCTTGCTGGCCAGAAGAGGGCACCAGATCTCATTCCAGATGGTTGTGAGCCACCATGTGGTTGCTGGGAATTGAACTCAGGACCCCAGGAAGAGCAGTCAGTGCTCTTAACCTCTGAGCCATCTCTCCAGCCCTGGTGTGCATTTCCTGACTTTGTATTCCTCTTCTTTTTCCTGTTGAATCTTGAACCCAGGCCCTGTGCTGCATTCCTGGGCCAGACAGACCACGTTCTGAGCTGCAGGCAACATTGCTGAGGGAAATGATTTGGAGGATTTGGAGACAGGTTCCTGGAGCTGCATCTCCAGGCTGAACCCTGGAGTGACCTGAAGCTCCTTCAAAGGCTGGGTCACTAGTTCCCAGCCCTAGCTTTTACCAAAGTGGCAGTACAGAAGGTAGCCAAAGACTGCTTGGATTTAGTCTCTGTGTAGCATTCAGACAGGTCACCTGCCTTGAGTCTTTGTATCTTGGGATAGTAGTGATACCCATGCCACAGGGCTGTGATGAAGGTTACAGGACTTAGTTTTCTCAGATCAACCAGTGTAGAGCCGGGCTCTCTGAGGTAGGGGCCACTTGATACCTGTTTGCTTGAAGAGAGAACAGGCCAGAGTAAAGGCTCAGCACCTGGATATCTATGTATCAATTGCACAATCCCCCAAATATCAGTTTCCCTAGCTATGAAATGGGGGTGGTTATCGTGCTGAGGCACCCTCCGATTGTCTACTTTAATAGTCTCCGCCTGCCCTGAGCTCTGTTAGGGCATGGTGGATGTTAAGGTTGCCCAGAGCAGAAAGTGCAGGGGAGAAGTTCTAGAGACTTGGCATTTTCTTGATGAGACTGGCCAGTGTCTCTGGTTATCGTGGGCAAGATCAGAGGGAAATAGACTGATAGAGTGTGAGGCCTGAAGATAGCAAATGAGCCATTGGTTGGACATATGGCAGAGCAACTGATATACTGAAGGGCCTTGAGCATGGGATGTCACCATCCTGAGCCTCAGCTTCCATTTCTGGGGAGGAGAACTAAGGCCTGCTTTAGGATTCCTGCTTCTCTGAAGGGCTCTGATTTTCCTGTTGCTGATTTTCTTGGATGGTTTCCATATTGGCTGTGTCTTGGGCAGTATCATCTGCCTGCTGTTTTTTCCAGAAAGGATGTTTTTCCCTCTCATTCTGCAGGCAGCCTGTAGATGGGCTACCTCTGTCTGGCTTTCCTACTCCTCTTCCTCACTAGCACTGTACCTAGGCTAGGGGAGAGGCCCAAGGGTCCAGCAAGGGGGCAGCATCCAGAAGGCCCCTCGAAAGAACAGGGCTAGCCAGCACCTTGGCATGCACCACAAGTGAGTACATCCAGGTATGGGTACTGTGGGGTTTGGGAGCAGGCCACAGCTGGCTCTGGGTGGTGACAGACTGTCATGGAGCATCCCAGAGATCATGAGCATTCTCCTCCCCCCGCCTCCCAGCACAAACTTTAGAACCAGCTGCTCAGTTCCACTGAGACTGTGCTGGGTAGTTGTGGCACCTCACTTCCCCGGAACAGCCTCTGATGAAGCTGCATGTGAAGCAACTCTCTGCAGTGAGCAATCATCTCTCTGGGATGAAAAAGCTGAGGGCCCAGAGCTTAGGGACTGCATTGAAGGCTCGTATACCCATTTGCTACCAAAAGAGAGGAGAGGCAGATTATAATGCTTGGAGTCCAGAGACCACAGGAGACACAAAACTTGGGATGGATTTGCTACCATGCAAGTCTGCCATCGCTTCCTGCAGGGAAGAAGGGTTGCGTCACAAGACTGGGGCTTTTCAGGAACATTCGTTCCCTCTGCCCAAGGTACACATGCACACACATGGGGTTGCTTAAGTGCATTACAAGGTTCAAATCCTGTATCAGCCACTTGCTAGTTTCCTTTTGCCTCTGTTTCTACTGTTATGGAAACTAGTGCTGGACCTGTCTCACAGCACCGTAGAAAGAATGCTTGGGTTAGCACAGGTAATACACAGAGCATGGAGGCTAGTACATGTGAAAGCTGCAGGCATATTTTCCTTTGTTATTTCAAGTCAGCTCAGATGTCTCTGTTCACTCAGTGTTGACTGAGTACCCTTGACATGCCAGACCCAAGTGTCTCTGCCTCGACTAGGCGGCAAGCCATGGAGCTTGGGAGCTGAGTGTGTAGTTCAGATGCAGAGGGGAAGAGCGTCTGAGAATTGGTGTGCTGGCTCCCACTGCTGGTGTGACTGACATCCTGATGAAATATGTCAGTTGGAAACAGTTGTGAAAGAAATGTCTGGAAAGTCAATCAGCCCTAGAGGAGGACCACAGGGAGTCTGAACTTAGGTCAGTGTTGTCATGACTTCCTGGGGGTGAGGGTGAGGGTGAGGGTGTGTGTGTGGGGGCAGTCCTCCTTCAGAAATCAGGGCAGTAACAAACCTCACATTAGAGGTTGACTGTGGGATTGCTTATGTGGAATGTACATGGTAAGCAGATGTGACATTGTTCACTTTTGTTTCTGGTCCTTTGCAATGATGACCACAGGTAGATCCTGTCCAGTCCCTATGATACTGGGCATGGCCATCAAAGCATGCTCTGTTCCCAAGGACTTCTGGAGCTCTGGCTTTATTGACTTGCAGAGAATGAGGAAGGCCCCTCAGGCAGCCTCATCCCTACAGGGGATATGTGGTCACCTAAGTCACGGAACATAAGTTTCTGGACAGTTCCTTGTTATGGGCACTGTGTCAGAGAATGGGGATGAAACTAAATGATCAGAAGTCAATATTGCCCTTGAGCTCAGCCCAGGAGAAAGGATGTGGAAAACTACCTCCAAAGATCAGAGACAGGGATGGGATGCTTATAGGGCCTCAGCTTCCACAGCTGAAAGGTGGATTAGAGGTGAGCATTAGCCAATGCCTTCTGCTAAGAATTTGTGACTCCTCCTTTTAGCTTAGGATAAAGTCCCAAAGCCTGTGGGGCCTGCACCTTCCTGCAGCTGCACCTCCACTTTCTCCTTTGACTTGCACTGTACCTCCTCCTCCCTGTCTTCTGCTCTCTTTGCTTCCTCCTACCTCAGGGCCTTTGTCCATGCAGCATCTCCCTGGAACTTATCCAGCCTCAACATGAAGCCTCATAGGACCATAAACAGTAGGACAACAAGAACCCTTTATTCAATGCTTGGCACATGATAAAGACTCAATCAGTGTTGAGTGAATGAATGAATGAATGAATGAATGAATGAATAAAGTAGAGCTTTGTGAAGGAGGCAGCATTTGACTCAGACCCAAAAAACCAAGGTATAATTTCAGTCTGTGCAAAGTAAGAGGTGCAGGCACCCCTGCCTCTGGGAATAGGCCAGCAGAGGACAGGGACACACTTGTTTGGTTTGGCAGACACAATGAAACAAGGGAGTGGAGGTTGGCAATGTGTACTGTCAAGCCAGGGAAAAGTGCTCATGGGACTATAGTAAGTTGGCGGTAGGGATGAGAGTACACATCACAAAAAAAAAAAAAAAGCTGGAGTCAAGGACTGTGAGTTGGAGAATTCACGGCTCCTACTGCTTTCTGTTCCCAAGGCATTACACATGTGCTCTGGCAGTTGTCCTTGAGAGCTATCAGGGAGGTAGAAGCAGGGTAGCAAGCAATGAGGCTTGTCACATGATGTCTCTTTTTCTGGAAGACAAGTGGCTTGGTGGCAGGGCAGCCATTACCAAGTCATGAGAAGGGACGTGAGCCATCCTCGTTGAGAAGGGAGCTCCTAGCTCTCCACCCCTACACCTGGATCCTAGAGCAACGTGGTGAGACAAGCCCAGGGTGGAATATGAGCAGGAACATTGCCGCCATTATGCTCAATGCCAAAGCCCTAGCATCCTTTTACAAGGCAGACATGTGGTCAAGAGTGAGAGTTTGAGGGGAAGGACTTGAGGGCAGCTCCTTTGTCCACCTTTGACAAAGTGGCTGTGCACCTTTGAGCATCCTTCTAGTGACTTTGGGCCTTTTTAGACCTAGTGGCTGTGCACCTTTGAGCATCCTTCTAGTGACTTTGGGCCTTTTTAGCAATCAACTGGGATGAAGCCTTGTGAAGGTTGAGTTAAATGACAGACTCGAAAGCCCAAGAAACAGTGTGGTTCAGGAAGCAGTGGCCTTCATCATGGCTGCATTTTTCTCCACCGTTTGCATTCTTAGCAGGAAACTTGGGTTTCAGGCTTAAAAATGAAGAGCATGTCAACAAAACAGGATGGAACAAAGTCTTTTCCCAGCATGCCTCAGCATGTGGCACTGCCTTCCTGTGGCGCCCAGACAATGATGTGGCTAAAAGTCTTGAGCTTTCAAGCAGAAATAATCCCAATGGAAAGGAACCTCCCATTGTTAGTGCATGATGAAGCGATGCAGGGGCTTGGCAGCCCTACTCGCCTGGGTCTGTGTTTTAGCTCAGACCCTGCCTAACTGCTGTGCCTCGGTTTCCTTACCTGCAAAAGGAAGACACTATCCACTTAACAGGTTTGCTGTGAGGATTAAGTGAGTTAATGCTTAGACTGTGCCTCAGTTAGTACTGTAATCAGATCATTTATCTTTAACTCTGTAGCACTCTGAGTGACTTAGTGAAGCTCTGAAGCCAGAAGGCTGGGTACCAGTCCCAATTCTGCTTTCTGCCTGACTTGGAACTAGTCACTCCCCTCTTTGTGTGCTTATTTTCTGCTCAGTATCATGAAGGTGGTCATTGATTCCTCACAGACTTGTAGTGAGGAGTGCACAGCGTCACCCAGGAAAGGGACCCCCATTCCCAGGAGGCAGGAAGAACAATTTATAGATAAAGAAGTTGAGACTCTAAGTCATTAGATGATTTGTTGAAGAATACACACTGTGAAACCAGACTGGTCCTCAGATTTGTGACTTGGGTTGGTATTGCCATGCCAGTGGCTGTTCAGGAAGAGTCCAGCCCACAGGCACTGAGAATTTCAAGTTGGGTGGAAAGCTAATGCCCCCTACCACCTGGTTTTAGGGTCCTGCTTGTTCATCTGTGGGAAAATGAATACTGCTAGACAGTCTGAGTTCCCCAGACTGTCTCCAAGGCCTTAGCATACCTGTGGTTTGAAACTGCTGCTGAGTCCTCTGTTCTTTATGGTGTCTTTCCCTGGTCACTTGGAGACTGGACCTAGCTAGCTCTCTGCCCCTCTTCCCAGTAGTCACTGAATGCTAGGAAGCTGGATAGTTAGAGGTAGTCTCTGGGGGCCTAGGACCAAATTCAGCTTTCAAGCTGAACCACTTAGGACAAGTTACTGAAATTCCCCTGCATCTCAGAGGCTGCATTTGTAAAGTGGAGTATGACATCAATATCAACCTTATCGGGTTGTTTCAAACATTAATTAGGGTGTAAAATAAACTCTGCCAGTGTCTGGTATTCTCTTCTAGGCTGTCTCATAATAATTGATATGTAACTTTTGTGGACATGTTACCTTTTCTTGCATAGGGTGCCAGGCACCAAAGGGACGTGGAAATGTCCAGTGACAAATACAGACATACAAACAGCCCAGTGGGACCAATGGGAACCATGACTTTGATCTTGGAGGGCAGAGTGGAGGGGCAAGCTGGTGAGCAGAGGCCACTATGAGACTGTACCAGTCCTGTCAAACTCTTCACAAGATATACAAGGCCCCACAGAGCTCCCAGCCCAGTCTCCTCTCTTTCTACTGCTCTGGGCAGAGGTCTCTTGTGCGCAGCAGCAGCAGCAGCATCTCCTCCTCCTTCCGTCCCCACCCCAAGTTTCATAGCTTTCCTTCACCTTGCCTGAGAAAGAACTGGTCATGGCTTACTGCCTCAGAGATCGCAGGTGCTCCTGTGAGGGTATGCCCAAAGCGTCAAGCTGTGCCTGTGTGTCTGTCCATGGTCAGTATCTTCACCCTTTGCCTGGGAATGTTGACTGGCTTAGGACAGGCATGGCATGATGTTGGGGGTAGTTTCCTCTTCTGTCAACCACTGGCTGTTTGTAAGCTTTCTCCTGGAAGTCTAGAGGTGAAGCCCCAGGCTTATGAACAAGGGTTTTAGGCTTCCCTCTTGGTGTTTAGAGTTGCTAGCAGGTGGCCCCTCCCAAGAGGAAGGAGAGTAGGGGCCTGTTGAAAGATAAAGGTGAGGGCTGATTGGGTGCTTGAGAAAGTCAGCCAGTGCTGGGAAGGATACTAGCCTGCAGCTGAAGGCAGACACTCTGGCTCAGTTCTCACAAGTCACTGATCTGCCGAGCAGGGCCAGTCTCCTCAATCAATCCATGCTGACAGATGGTGGCAGAATCAGTGACCTAGAGGCAGAAGGCTCCATTTGTAATCCCAGAGTGGCCCAGGTTCCTGGAGGACAGCTGAGGAGTTTGTAATAAAAGGAGTGACACAGGGTTTCCAAAAGCCATCTCTGAGCCAGAGGAGGAAAGAAAGGATTAATTTTGCCTCTGGAATTGATACACAGTGATTCTATCAATAAGTATTTTGAAGTAGATTGAGTTAGGAGAAATGGGGGGAAACAGCTTATTTACTCTGTTTTCCTTAAAAGACCACTCCGAAAGCGGAGAAGGGAAATCATGCTGTATACATTTGAGACAAGTAGGGATACAAAAGGTTGGGGCAAGCTGGGTGTAGTAGTGTCAGAGCTGTGATCCCAACACTCCAGAGGCTGAGGCAGGAGGAGAACCATGACTTGAGGCCAGCCTGGGCTACACAGTGAGACACTGTCTCAAAATAAAAATAACTACCCCTATGGGGTTCTGAATTGTAGGACTTTGGGCAGTAAATGAATTTGCCCGATTTTTACCTGCTCAGCTGTTGTACTGTCCTCACATTTACAGTGGTTCTCTGATTTTAGCCTCCTGACTACTGGGATTACAGGTGTGCACCACTCTGCCTTGTGGGGTTCCAGAGTTAATTGCCTGGTACTGCATGGATTTCTTATGCAGCTATCTTTAGATTCCCCACAATTCTAAGTGAGGTAACATTAAGGGCTGGGGTCCGGCACGCAGAGAGGTGAAATGATTTGTTCATGGCCACACAGCACAAGAGTATTAATATCTGTCTGCTGGTCACAATTCCAGTGAGTGTCTTCCTTCCATGTGATACTACAAAGGCACATGATAGGGCACCAGGGACTGAAAGACCTGGCTAGAGAATGGGGCAAGTTTCCATGTAGTGGTTACCTGCACAGTATTCTAAGAGCTGAAAAAGTACGGAGGAGGTTACCTCAGGAAAGGAGCCAGAAGCTGGGCCCCGTGTCTCTGCATTCTTTTGTTAATGAGATTTGTTCTATTTTGTTTCTTTTCCCTTGTCCCCTTGAGACAAAGTAAAACATAGGAAGAAGGGAGAAATGGTGGCAGGAGTATGAGGAAGTGGGTGTCCCTTTTCTTCATGAATTGGCTCTAGAAGCTGGGGATGCCCTCAATACTTACTCTCCAAGAAACACATCTATAGTCTCCATTTTTTTTTTTCCAGGAAACTTTGGGTCTATTGAGAGTGCCTCCCACCTTTCTGCAGTTCTGATACAAGCTGAAGCCAGGCTTTGGTTTCTTAAAAGCCTAAGTGCTGGAGAATTTGAAAATGAAACTCACAGTTAGAACAATGAGAGCAGCCAGAGGGCAGGGCCTGTCGGCCTATTCAGCTTTGCTCAGGAAGGCCTTGGCACCTTGCCTGGCGTGCAAGCAGTGTGGGGGAATCAAATCCCCAGGAGTAGTCATGACCTGCATTGGAATCAGCCCCCACTTGGTGAGATGGGACAGAAGCCAGGAGAAACCACTGCCTTCAACACATCCTCCTGCCAGGGGCTCCAGAGCCTCTCAGGTCCTGCCTGGGATCCCCAGATCCTCTGTGGGTGGCCTGAGGCAAGTAAAAGCATTGAATTGACTAGGTAGAATGAAAGGTGAAAGGGTAAAAGCCAGGTTTCAGGAGTTATAGACCCCAGATATATGAAATCTGGTCCCTAGACCACAACTGATTCAGTCAGCCACTATCTTATACCCAAAATATATTTTGGATCCCATTTTTTTCTTAACTCAGGCTGCTTTAGGAGGGAGAAGCCACATACTCCCCCAACATCTAGGGCAGATGCGGGGGGAATCTAGTTTTAGGGACACCTAATCCAAAATCTCCCCCTTCCTCTTGTGTCTATGGGAAACTGAGGTCTTCCAAACTCATCCTGTCCTTACAGGCCTCACTTTGCATAGCAGCGGGGTGGGCACATGGTACTACCATCTAGGGGATGGCGGTTCTACATGAGATTTTCTTGAAGAAAAAGAAATTTAGCCCCTTGCTCTGTAAAGACATCAGGGAGCCAGGTGGTGGTGGCCTTTAGTCCCAGCACTCGGGAGGCAGAGGCAGGTGGATCTCTGTGAGTCCGAGGCCAGCCTGGTGTACAGAGCGAGTTTCAGGACAGACTCCAAAGTTACAGAGAAACCCTGTCGGGGGTGTGGGTGGGGAGAAGACATTAGGAATACAAGGGATGGCTGGTTAGGGCCTGAGGCTCCGCCCTGGAAATCTTTAACTTCAGTTCTTGCCTTGCCATTCAGGAGTGCAGAATCTGAGTGCCAAGGCAGCCTACTGGCACTGTCGTTTTTATTTTAAATATGAGGTAGGTTGGCTTCCTTCCTTTTATAATGGAGGAGACTGAGTCTCAGAGACTAAGTTGTTCATTCAGGAACACCCACTAAGCACCAAGGGCAGAGACAGCAGGTGCTGGCCTGGTGGGACCCAACGTGCCCTGTGGACTTAGCAAAGCAGGAACTATCCTGATGACCGCTCAACTAACTACACAATTGCCACGGGCTTCTTTCCCTGCCTGCCAGAGGCGCGACTCAGGCTTTGGAGTCTCAGGGAGAACTCCAGAAATCCCAGTGGAAGGTTCTGTGCCACCAACTCCCCAGAAAGTTGTCTTGAGGGTACCCCACAAGGCAACCTCAAGCGCAGGGCTGGATATAGCCCTGGGCGCCTGGGCGCCTGGTCAG